CACCTGACAGGCATACCGAGTGGACCCACTTCAGATGGGCGGGTTCAGACACAAGTGGATACTCAGAACCCCTCAGCAGCTTCCGAGGGCCCCTCTCCACCAAGCAATCCCGTTCTGCATGTTCTTTCGCAAACCTCCAACATCTCATCTCCCCCTCTCTACATCTTCACTTCTTCCTTTGTTGAAAAAATATAGCTGTGATGTGAAGACGCCAGAGACTGGTTTCAGTCAGCTCTTGCTGGAGCGCTCCAGCCACTCTGCCCCGAGGGCCATGGATGGTGAACCTGCCACAGGCCAACCCCGCTGAGGTACCCTGTGCCTCCCCGTGCCCAGCGCCCCCAGGGGGAGTGTCACCTCTCTTACATGGTTATTTGTGCTGCCAAAGGCTCCTACTCTGTAGGGGTCCCCTCCATGGAGCCCACATCCCCATGGAGGTGACTGTGCCCCCGAAGACTTGCTTCCTCCAGGACAAATGTAGGTTCTTTATTGTTACAGTGTTTCCCAGGGAAGCAAATCTCTCTCTCTCTCTCTCTCTCTCTCTCTCTCTCTCTCTCTCTCTCCCTCCTCTCTCTCTATTTTTTTTGTAGTACTGAGGAGTGAACATAGTCTTCTGTGCCTTAGACAAGCTCTCTACCACTGAGCCAACTGTACCCCTGAGCCATAGACTGTCATTGTACCCCTGAGCCCACACCCCAGCCCCTCACTGGGGGACTCTAGGCAGGGGCTCTACCGCTGAGCCACACCCCAGCCCCTCACTGGGAGACTCTAGGCAGGGGCTCTACCGCTGAGCCACACCCCAGCCCCTCACTGGGGGACTCTAGGCAGGGGCTCTACCACTGAGCTACACCCCAGCCCCTCACTTGGGGATTCTAGGCAGGGTCTTTACCACTGAGCCACACCCCAGCCCCTCACTGGGGGATCCTAGGCAGGGCCTCTACAGCTGAGCTACACCCCAGCCCCTCACTGGGGATTCTAGGCAGGGGCTCCACCACTGAGCCACACCCCAGCCCCTCACTGGGGGATGCTATTCAGGGGACATTTCACAACGTATGACAGATTCTTTGCCAGGGTATGGATCTTGCCAAGTAAAAGAAACAGGTAAGGGGTAGGGCTACAGCAATGATTGACGGAGGGCTAGCTTGGGGCCAGTGTACGGGGAGGCAGCTGGGACATGTCCATATTTTTTGGCAGCTCTTAACTGTTGAGCCATCTCTCTCCAGCCTCTTTTTTTTTTTTTTTTTTTTTTGCAGGGTGTTATTCTGGAACTCAGTAGCCCGTGATGACCTCAAACTTTTGGCAATCCTCCTGTCACAACCTCCTGACTGTTGGGATTACTGGCATAAGCCACCATCCCCAGCCCAAGGGAAAACTTACCTAGAGTAAGAAGCAAATCTATCATGGTTGAATTTTTGTTTAGCTAGACCCCCACAGGTCTGCCACTCAGGTCAAAGTATGGAAACCTCAGCACCCCTAAGACCCCAATGTGTTCTGCCCATTGATACAATTTACAATTTCACCAAATCTAAAACTATAGATATAGTCCGCATGTGCATGTGTGTGCGTATGTGTGCATGCGCACATGTGCATATGTGTGTAGAGCCCAGGGGTTGATGCCTAGTGATTTTCTCTTGTCATTTTATGTTTTTAAGATTTAAAAAAAATTTTCTTTGTCTTTTTGAGACAGGGTCTCTGTGTAGTCCCCAGCTGGCCTGGAACTCACTGTGTAGACCAGGCTGGCCTTGGACTCATAGAGATCTGCCTGCCTCTACCTCTCAAGTGCTGGGATTAAAGGTGTGTGACCCTATGCCCATGATTTATTTATTTTTATTTTATATGTAAGAGTATTTTGTTTGCATATATGTAAGCATACTATGTGCATGCAATGCCCACAGAGGACATAAGAGGATCCTCTAGAACTGGAGTTATGGATGAGTGTTAGCCACTATATGGATGCTGGGAACCAAACCTCTGCTGAGCCATCTCTCCAGCTCAAGATTTATTATTATTTTTAAGTTATGTGTATAGCTGAATGTGGGTGGCACACCTTTATTCCCAGACTTGGGAGGCAGAGGCAAGTGGATCTATGTGAGATCAAGGCCAACCTGGTCTACATATTGAGTTCCAGGCCAGCTGGGGCTATATAAGAAGACCTTGTCTCAAAACAAAAATTATAGGGGCTGGAGAGATGGCTCAGTGGTTATGAGCACCCACTGCTTTTGCAAAGGACCCAGGTTTGGTTCCCAGCACCCACATGGTGGCTAACAACCATCTGTAACTCTAGTTCCAGGGGATCTGATACCCTCTTCTGACATCCATGGGCACTGCATGACTTGGGTGCACTTACATAAATGCAGACAATACACACATAAATAAAATATAAGTAAAATATTTTTAAAAATTACATGTATGCATGTGTATCTGTGTGTACATGTGAGTGCAATGCCCTAGGAGGTGGAATGAAGGAATCAGGTCCCCTGGAACTGGAGTTACAGGCTATTGTGAACCATCCAACACAAGTGCTGGGAACTGACCTTGGTTCCTCTGCAAGAGCAGTACATGCTCTTAACCAGTGAGTCCCTGATTACTGATTGATTGATGACTGATGATGATTGATTGATTGCTGAGATAGAGTCTATGTAGCCCTAGCTGGCCTAGAACTCTCTATATAGATCAGGCTGGTCTCAAACTCACAAAGATCTGCCTGCCTCAGCCTCCTGAGTGCTGGGATTAAAGGTGTGTACAACCACACCCAGCCCACTTTATTAAAGATTATTTATTATTATTTTTTGGTCTTTTTGAGACAGGGTCCCCCTATGGCCCCAGCTGTCCTGGAACTCACTATGTAGCCCAGGCTTGCCTTGAGCTCACAGAGATCCACCTGCTTCTGCATCCCAAGTGCTGGGATTAAAGGCGTGCGCCACCACACCCAGCTTATTTATTTTTATTTTATGTGTATGAATGTTATGCCTTTATGTATGTAAGTGTACTCATGTCATGCAGTGTCTGTGGAGGTTGGAGGAGGGTATCACATCCCCTGGAAATGGAGTTACTGATGGTTGTTAGCCATCATGTGGGTGCTGGGATTTGAACCCGGGTCCTCTGCAAGAGCAACCAGTGCTCTTAACCAGTGAGCCATCTCTCCAGGGCAGATTTATTTATTTTTTATTTTATGTGTATGAGTGTTTTGCCTGCATGTATGTATGTGCACCATGTGTGTGCAGTGCTCATGGAGGCCAGAACAGGGCATTGTATCCTCTGGAATTGGAGTTGTAGATGGTTGTGAGATGCCATGTGGGTGCTGAGAACTGAACCCTGGTCTTCTGGAAGAGCAGCCAGTGCTCTTAACTGCTGAGCCATCTCTCCAGCCCCTCTCCACCTTATTTTTAAGACAAAGTCTCTCAGTGAACCTGGAGCTAACATATTCAGCCACCCTGGCTGGCCAGCGAGCCCTCTGAGACCTGCCTATCTGCACAGTGCTAGGGTTCCAGGCGTGTGCCTCCATGCCCAGTTGTTTACAGAGGAGCTGGGGCTGGAACTCAAGACCACACGCTCATGTGGCAAGCAATTGACACATGGAGCTATCTCTGCAGCCCTGATGGGTGCTCCTTGACTCCCAGGTAGTACAGCCTGAGGCAGGAGGATCACTGTGCTGGATAACTTGACACACCTGGGTTGAGGGAGCCACCATTGGACTGGCCCGTGGCCATGTCTGTGGGAGAATTTTCCTGATGAGTGATGTGGGAGGTCCCAGCCCACTGTGGGTGGCATCACCCCTGGGCAGGTGGGCCTATGTTGTATAAGAAAGCAGACTGAGCATGGGCCAGGAGAGCAAGCCAGTAAGCAGTGTTCCTCCATGGCCTGTGCTTCAGCTCCTGCCTCCAGGTTCCTGCCCTGAGTTTCTACCTTGGGCTCCAGGATGAACTGTGACCCAGGAGATGTAAGCTAAATAAACCCTTTCCTCCCCAAGTTGGTGTTGGTTAGTGTTTTGTCACACAGGAGAAACAAACAAACTAGGACAATCACTTAGCTCAGTTCCAGGCCAGTCTGACCAACTGCTGGTTGCTTTTCTGTTGTGATAAACATGGTGATCAAAAGTCACTTGGAAGGAAAATGTTTGCATGGCTTGCTGGTTACACTCAATCAGGCAGGAACTGAAGCAGAGACCATAGAGGAACGCTGTTTGCTGGCTCGCTTCCCCTGGCTCGCTCAGCTACCTTTGTACATAGCCCAGGACCACCTGCCTAGGAATGACACTTGCCCACATTGGGCTGGACCTCCTATATCAATGAGCAATCAAGAAAATTCCCTACAAAGGGGGTGTGGTGGAGTATGCCTTTAGTCTCAGCACTCAGGGAAGCAGAGGCAGGTGAATCTCTGTGAGTTCAAGGCCAGCCTGGTCTACATAGTGAGTTCCAGGCCAGCTGGGGCTACAGGGAGACCCTGTCTCAAAAAGACAAAGAAAGAAAATGCCCCACAGACAAGTCTGATGTAGACATTTCTCCTTGAGGTTCCCACTTCCCAGGTGTCTCTAGTTGGTGTCAAAGTTGATAAAAGCTCAGGAGCACTGCAACATAGTGAGGCCTTGTTTCAAAAGAACAAGGGATAGGCCAGCAAGATGGCCAAGCTGGCAGAGATGTTTGCCACAAAGCTTGATGACCTGAGTTCCAGCCCTAGGACCACATGGTGGAAGGAGAGAACAGACTCCTGAAAGTTGTCCTCTGACCTCCCCTTGCATGCTGGGACATGTGTGTAGATAAACACATATACACACAAAATAAGTAAATAGTTTTTTAAAAATCATAAAGTGTGTGGAGGAGACACTCTTCTCAAAATAACGTGAATTGAGAGGTTGGCCAACCCGACCCACCCATGTGACTTACTGTCCCTTCCCCAGACTCTTCACAAACCCCTCCTTTTCTCTGGATTGCTTAAAAAAAAAAAGGGGGGGTGGTGGTTAATAAGTCTCAGAAAAGCGAACTGAAAGTTAAAAGTAAAAACAGTAGAGGTGGCAGGAAAGGAAGGGGTGGGGGTTGGGAGCCCGCTCAGGTTGAGGACAGCTGGTCCTTGCCTCTCCTCCAAACACGGGACACAGGAGGCTGCTGGGGACTCTGCAGGAACACTTAGCACAAGTCTCCCACAGTCTCATCCTGAACCCCTGTGCCACCTGCTGCGGAGAGACATCAGGTCCCAGGCACCTCTATCCTCCAGTGGTGGGGTGTGAACAGGCCAGAGTCTCAAGTGGAAGAACAGAGGCTCCAGGACGTCTGGGTCCCCAGAGATGTCACCTTCGCTGCTGGTGGTGCTGTGCCAGTTGCTGCTGCTGCTGTTGCTGGGGAACTCAGAGCCCTCAGGGGCCACACTGATCCGGTATGGGGACCCCCCACCACCCAACCCTGACAAGATTCCTATTTCTTGCCCTTTAAGACTAGGGCTGGACTTGGTGCCCTAGGAATCCCAACTGTTTTTTGTTTTTTCTTCCCAGCTCTTTATTTAAAAAAAAATTTTTTTGTCTTTTTGAGATAGGGTCCCCCTGTAGCCCCAGCTGACCTGGAACTCACCATGTAGACCAGGCTGCCCTTGAACCTACAGAGATCCACCTTCCTCTGCCTCCCATGTGTTGGGATCAAAGGCATGCACCACCACGCCCAGCTCAGTTCTTACTTTTAAAAAAGTATGTATTTATTTGTGGGTGTGGGTCTGCACACACATATGTGTGTTGATGCATGTGCGGTGGTCAGAGGGGCTGCCATACTTGGCAGAAATCTCCCCTACCCTTTGAGCCATCTTGACCACCTAGGTCCCCAACTATCTAAATAGGGGTCTCCCCCACCAAAGAAATTCAACACCATACCTCCTAAGAGCCCACTTCTATGGTTGTGGCTGGCCTCAAACTCCCTGTGTAGCCAAGAATGATCTTGAATTCCTGAGCCTCCTGCCTCCTGGGATTACAGCTGTGTGCCACACTGCAAGGTTTATGCAGTGCTGGGGATGGAACTCAGGACTTTGCGCATGCCAGATGAGCCCTCTACCAGCTCAGACCCACTCTAGCCCCAACATTTTAAGTCTGGGATGCTCCAGTGCTGGGTGGGATGAGGTGGTAATCCCAGTGGGCAGGGAGGTGGAGGCAGGACGGTGTCAATCCATCGTCAATCCAAGGCCTTTGAGATCCTGTCTCAGGGAACCATGGGCTGGGGCTGAGGCTTAGCTTCGGTAGGAGCGCTTGCCTAGTAGACACAGGCCTTGGATTCTATCCCTAGCACCACAACAAAATGTGTTCAGCACTGCGGTCCAAGGTTGGAGTCCCCTCCTTATTCAATTAGGATACATTTCTTGGGGCGGGGGTTTTCCTTTGTGACCGAGCCCTAGTGATCTGACTTTGGAATTCCCACCCCATAACTCTCCCCCCCCCCGTCCCATTTCCTAGAGACCCAGATTTGTTTATTGAAATTGTTTGTATGCCCAGACTCACAGCCTGCACACATGCCTATTTTGAGAACCCCAACCCCAGGATCCCCCAACACCTCGACTCTCTCATTCTCTTCCCTTTTTTGGTGGGGGAGGGGCTCTTCCAGGACTTGTGATCTTCATACTCTAGAACCTCTTCAGGCTGTCCTGGAGTTGGGCAAAGAGTGGCCAGGGCCACAGTTCCAAGCAGGTACCAGCCCTCGACTGTGCAGCATGTTGGTTAACCTGGGTTTCTTTGAGGGGTGGGGAGAAAAGGGAATGAGACAGGGTTTCACTCTATAGCCCAGGCTAGCCTCAAGCTCACAGCAATTTTGTCAGCCACCCAAGCTCTGTGATCCAGAGTTTAATTTAATTATCTATTTTTTAAATTTTTTTGAGACAGGGTCTTACTATGTAGCTTTGGCTGGCCTGGAACTTGCTATATAAACCAGACTGAACTCTCAGACATCCACCTGCCTCTGCCTCCTGAGGGCCGGGGTTAAAGGCCTGCACCACCATGCCTGGCCTCAGAGACTATAGGTCCCTCAGAGTCTTTACCGAAGGATTGGCGCTCTAGGTGTGAGCTGCCAGTCTAGTACAGAGGCAGAAAGATTGCGGCAAGGTAGAGATCAGCCAGGACAGGGACTACAGAGCAAGACCCTGTCCCCAAAGTGAGAGTGAGAGACAGAGAGAGAGAGAGACAGAGGGGGGAGAAGAGAGACACAGAGAGGAGGAGAGAGGCAGAGAGGGGAAAGGGAGAGAGAGAAGGAGAGAAAGAGAGAGGAGGGAGACAGGCGGAGAAGGGAGACAGAGGGAGAGAGGGGGAAAGGAGACAGAGAGAGGAGGGAGACAGAGACAGGGGGAGGAGAGAGAGGAGAGAGAATCTGAATTTGCCTAACGCACTTGGCCTAACTGATTCAGCCTGGTGCCGAAGCTAGGGAAGGCCCAGTGGAGCCACTCCCTCCCCTGTGTGGTCTGGGTTTCTGTTCCTTATCCTCCGCATACCATAGCCCAGTCCCTAGATGGCCTTGGACTGTCTCCTTGCCCAAGTCAGACACTTCCTCCTAAACACATCTTTCCATTAACTGCTAGGGAGGAAATTCCTACATGGGTTAAAAGGTGTTTTCAAGTTTTCCTGATTTTTCCTTTGTCTTCCTTTCTTTCTTGGCAGTTTTGTTTTCGTGTTCTGCCTCCCGCCCAGCTGCACCAGGGTTTGAACCAGAGCCTTCTGTATGCTAAGCAAGTGCTCTTGGTTTGTTCTCCACTGCTGTGACAAAATACTCTGACCACTACCAACTTGGGGAGGAAAGGGATTATTTAGCTTACATCTCCCAGGTCACACAGTTCATTTGGGAGCCCAAGATAGGAACTCAGGGCAGGAACCTGGAGGCTGGAGCACAAGCCATGGAGGAATGCTGCTTACTGGCTTGCTCCCCTGGCCCCTGCTCAGCCTGCTTTCTTATGCAACACAGGCCCACCTACCCAGGGGTGGCACCACCCACAGTGGGCTGGGCCCTCTCATATCACTCAACAATCAAGAAGATGTCCCACAGACATGGCCAAGGCCAGTCCAATAGAGGAAATTCCCCAATTGAGGCTCCCTCAACCCAGGTGTGTCAAGTTGACACTAAAGCTATCCAGCACATGCCCCAACCACTGAGCCACACTCCAGCCCCTCACTGGGAGATCCTAGGCAGGGGCTCTACCCCTGAGTCATACCCCAGCCCTCCTTTTATTTTTTAAGATGGGGTTTCACTAAGGACTTTGGATCCTGCATCAGTTTCCCCAGCAGTTGGGTAGACAGTCTTGGAGCTCCTGGCTGCCTCCACCTCCTTTTTTTTTGTCATTTTTGAGGCAGGGTCTCCCTGGCCTGGAACTCACCATGCAAACCAGGCTGGCCTTGAACTCACCTACCTCTGCCTCCTGAGTGCTGGAATTAAAGGCAGGTGCCACCAAACCCGGCTGGGTTTTTTTTTTCTTTCTCTTCCTCCTCCTCCTCCTCCTCCTCCTCTGGCCTCCACATGCACACTTAAGCAATCCTACACCCAACCAAAAAGAATCTTTTAAAAATCTTTATTATTTTTATTTTATGTGCATGGATTTATTGCCTGCCATGTATGTAAGTGTGGCACAGTGCCCAAGGAAGTCAGAAGAGGGTGTCAGATGCCTTGGAACTGGAGCTACAGATGATTGTTAGCCACCATGTGGGTGCTGGGAATTGAACCTAGGTCCTCTGCAAGAGCAGTCAGTGCTCTAACTGCTGAACCATCTCTCCAGCCCCAGACCTGGCTTCTTAAACTTTATTTACAGCTTTTGCATATGGATGTTCTGAGTAGTTGTTTGTAATTAAATTTTTGTATTATATTTATTTTGTACATATGTGTGCATGCCACAGCATCCATGTGGAGGTCTGAAATCCTCCCTAAGCATCATAAGAAGAGCAAAACTGAGGGAGACTAAAAATATAAACCTTCAGCTGGCTAGATTATTCAGTGGGTAAAGGAGCTTGCCATTAAGGTTGAGGACCGAGTTCAAACCCCAGGACCCACATGGTGGAAGGAGAGGACTGACTACCACAGGTACCTCTGGCCTCCACATGCTGGGGGCTGGGGCTCAGTGGTACAGCACTGGCCTAGGAGTGAGGTCATAGGTTCAAGACCCTGGCCTACCAGACAGGAAAAACAGAAACACTGCTGGGAAGCTTCATGAGTCATGGTACTTTCTTTCCCACACCACTGGGGAAAATATGAGCTCCAAACCCTAATCTCACTCTTGACACTAAATAAATCACATATATAGCAAAGACTTCATGTGAGATGTGAAATTATAAGAGCGACAGAAGTATGTGAGTTAGGCTTTTCCTTCCTTCCTTCCTTCCTTCCTTCCTTCCTTCCTTCCTTCCTTCCTTCCTTCCTTCCTCCTTCCTCCCTTCTTCCTGGCTTCGTTCCATTCATTCTGGAGGGGGTGGTTATGGTTGAGAAGGGTCTCCCTGTAGTCCCAGCTGGCCTGGAAGTCTCAATATAGACCAGGCTGACCTTGATCTCACCAAGATCCACCTACCTCTACCTCTGGAGTGCTGGGATTAAAGGTGTGCACTACACCTGGCGTCCAATTTATTTTTAAGCAGTCTCATTCCTGCCTGGCCTAGAACTCACTATGCAGACCAGGCTGGCCTCAAACCCACCTTCCTCTGCCTCCCAACTGCTGGGATTAAAGGAGGGCACCAGCAGGTTCAACCAATTTTTTAAAAATATTTTATTTATTATTTTTATTTTATGTGTATGAGTGTTATGCCTGCATGCAGGTAAGTGCGCCTGTGTCGTGCAATGCCCAAGGAGGACAGAAGAGGCCGTCAGATAGATCCCCTGGAACTGGAGTTACGGACAGTTGTTAGCTGCCATGTGGGTGCTGGTATTTGAACCCAGGTCTTCTGCAAGAACAATCAGTGTTCTTAACCACTGAGCCATCTCTCCATCTCCCAATCAATTTTTATTATTGTTATTTTTAAAAATTGTGTGTGTATGTGTCCCCAATCAATTTTTATTATTGTTATTTTTAAAAATTGTGTGTGTATGTGTATGTGTATGTGTATATGTGTATGTAAGTGCAGTACTCACATAGGCCCGAAGAGGGCATTGGCTCCTTGGAGCTGAAGTTACAGGTCTTTATGAACCAGTTGATGTGGGTGCTGGGAATCAAACTCAGGTCCTCTGGAAAAGCAGTAAATGCTCTTAACTGCTGTGCCATCTCTCCAGTTGCCTTCCATCAGCCCCTCCCACATGCTAGGCATAATAGGTCCCAAAGCATGACCTACCTTAAGACTTCTAGGTACTGACTTACCTTTGAGCCTGTGAATTTGGGATGACTGACTTGCTCTAGGGAAGTCTCTGGAACTGTCTGTCCTGTTGCCTTCGCTAGCACTTCCTAGTCAAGGTGGAGTTCCCGCTGATGACTGCTTCTAAGGACCAAGGGACATTTACCTTGCTGACATTCCCTACTGAGCATCTATCACATGGGGACTCTGGGATGCAGGATGCACAGCTCCCTCACTCTCCACCTCCCCTCTCTCTCTAGGGTCCCCCTTCGCCGAGCCCACCCTGGACACAGCATCCTGAGCCCACTGGGCACATGGGGACAGTCAATAGAGCCCTCTAGACTGGGGACCCCCATCTCTGGTAACAAGTCTACCCTGGTGGCTCTGTCCAAGTTCATGAACGTAAGTCCCAGCCCCCACAGCCCCACCTTTGTGCCCATGTGCCCAATTCTTATTTTTCTCATTTCCTCTGTGCCATCAGACCCAGTACTTTGGGAACATTGGACTGGGCACGCCTCCTCAGAACTTCACAGTGGTCTTCGACACGGGTTCCTCCAATCTCTGGGTCCCGTCCACCAGATGTTACTTCTTCAGTGTGCCCTGCTGTGAGCTAGCCTGGGGAAGATGACCAAAGGGGGTGACAAAAGGTGGGGGCTGGGCCTCAAGAACCCCCAGGCCTTACTGCCGGTGACATCTCTGTTGTCTCCTGAAATAGGGTTCCACCACCGTTTTAATCCCAAAGCCTCCAGCTCCTTCCAGTCCAATGGGACCAAGTTCACCATTCAGTATGGAACTGGGCGTCTGAGCGGAGTCCTGAGTGAGGACACACTGACTGTAGGTGACTTCTATGCTGTGAAGGCTTGAGTGTAGAACCCTGTGTCCTATGATGCCTATGAAGCAGGGCCGCCTGAGAAAGGGGCGGGGCTTCTCCAGAAAAGGAGGGGAGAGGCGAAGCCTTGGAAAACACACATGGCTTTTCTTGAGACAGAGCTTTCTG